CATTAAGAAAAACAAAACTACATAAAGAAAAACGCAACTACATTAAGAAAAACAAAACTACATAAAGCAAAGAGGCAGTTTGCACTTCAGGGCCACCATATATTTCCCCTGTTTTCTCTCTCTATCTCTTTCTCTCTCCCCTTAATTCTTATCTCCTCTCCCTTTCTCAGCAGGGCCAGTTCTTCAGCGGCCTTGCTAGATATTTGATTGAGTAATTTAGGAAAATATTTGTTATAATTAAATATTTCGGTGTTGTTCTGTTGTTTTTACTTGAGTAAAAATACTAATGAGGTATCGTTTCTGTCCCATGGTTAAATTTCCGGCGACTCTACCTGTCATGAGTAACTTCCCTCAATAAGAGGCAAGGCCGCTGGAAGTCATTTTGAACAGGGCATGCTGTGAAAATATTTATTTATGTATTTTTGGGACAAAAGACCTACTTAAAATAGATAGGCCTATTTAAAATACAATAAATAAGAATTAATAAATAGATTGAAATTCACTACTTGTGGCTACTATTGTCATATACCCTTTAGTGCACGCAACCAGGGTCTGTAACACAGAGACATCATCATCCTCAGGTGAATATATGGACTATTACTTAAACTTCACAATAACACCATAGAAAGGTAAATTTGGTCAGCTGGTATGAACTTCAGTCACTGTGTTTCATGTGACTCTATTACCTCCAAAATTATTTTACGCAAACCAAAAGGAAATAATTTTATTATTATACTATTTAAAAGTTATTGAACAGTTCTTCACATCTATTACACAAAGAACACAAGATCAAAATAGAGCAAAGATCAAAATAACACTTTAAAATACATGGTTACTGCATGAATAGATATGAAAGCGGCACCATGCTCTTACTTTAAGCTACAGGCAGGGTGCCCTGCTAGCTAGCTTTGGTTCACTAGCTTCACTTGAGTAAAAATATGATAAAGTACACATTTTCTGTACTCCTTATTTTTTGCTTGCAGCAGGACGGTCATTGGTTTGAACCCCAATCTATAGGGTCTCTTTGCATGTATGGGTTGTCTCTGGGTACTCCAGCTTCCTCTCAGAGTCAAGAGTAAGTAGTCTTACTCTGAAGGGACATTAAATTGTCCTGAGGTTTGAATGTGTGCATCTCTACACCTCCCTGACTTTTCTGCTAGGCTACAGTACCTGTCACCCTCATTGGACTAGAAGATGGATAAACTTTCTCATATTGTCATAAACAATGACCTGTTACTTCAACCTCCCCAAATAAATGTTAACGTACATGTCTTTTTGACATTATGGTCAATATGTCACAAATGTGGTAGTTAATCAAAAAGTCTAAATGTATTTCTATGTTAATAATCTGGAACAACACCTTTAAGTGAACTTACCAAGAGAAGCTGGAGGCGAAGGATCCTGGACCTGATAAGCTGAACATCAATATTGATCAGCAGTCCAAAGATAGATGGAGACTATTCACTCGGTCCTTTAAGGACCTTTTTTTAAGCAAGAAGGCTTGGCTACATGCATGTAGCGAGGCTAACGTGTTATTCTGCTTCCCCTGCCTCCTTTTTTAAACGTCAGGATCTGATCGTGCATGGATACAGACAGTTAGGACTGATTTAAAGCACTTTTTAGAAAAGGCAAAGAAGAATGAACAATCTGGGATTCACATGGAAAATAATATAATATGTTGTACTTTTTGTAGATGTTTGTTAATTTGCATATTTGCTCTTAAATAAACACATTCTCAGAAGATAAATAGTTTTTATATATTAAAAAATATTTATAAAGTTGACTAATAGCTTCCCTATTATTACACTGGCATATTTTTTAGGTTTGTGAAACAATATTGGACCATGCAAAACACAGATTTATCTTCACCAAGCCTCTGAAGGGCAAGATTTATGTTCAAAAAGTAAATCTATTCATTAAATTATGTTTTGTTTTTAAATAATTTTTTTGTTGTTGGCATTCATATTAATATATTGGTGTGACAACTTAGCATACGTTTGATTGTTTTTTGGTTTAAGTCTGTTTTGAATGTATATATTACAATTATGTTACAATAGTGAGTCTGACTTATTATTAGTCTGAAATAATTTGCTTTAAGTATTACAGCCAGAACATACAGGAAAACTTTCGACATTCATTCAATCTTTGTTTCAAATGTCTTTGTTGGACTTTTGGACTGTATGGTGGCATCCGTAGATGTTAGAATGTAAAGGGTAATAATCATGCCAGTGTTTAATCCCCTTAGGGTTTTGTTTACATGCTTTTTAACATATTTCAAAGTCTTCATGTTTAATAACCCTAAATAAAAGTTTGAATCTTTATTGGAAATAATCTGTACTGTACTTAGTTTCTGATGCAATTCTCCCCAAAACTGACTAAATTATGGGACCAGGCCAAGACTCATAGCAGCCTTTGGATCAAAACTATCAGACAGTCCTTGACATGAACCTGGAGTTGAGAAACAACCAGCCTCATCTGCAATGCAATCATGCATCTCTTGGCTGTGTTTCTAAAAAATTTAAACTTAAAAAAGATTCAATAATAAAATGTATTTAAAAAGTATGTTCGTACAAAGTGCTAAACTGTTAAAAGGAGAGTTGGCAATCTACACTCACCTACCACTTTATTACAGTATGTACAGCTTGCTATTTGGACTCCTTTTGCCTTCAGAACTGCTTTAATCCTTTGTGGCATAGATTTAAAATGCTCCTGGAAACATTCCTCAGGGAGTTTGGTCCATATTGACGTGATAGCATGTAGATGCTGCAGGTTTGTCAGCTAAACATCCATGACGACTCTCCCGTTAGGTCTGGTAGGCTGTGGCGTTGACAAAATGCTCAGTTGATACTAAGGAAATATCGTCCATGCCATTACATTACCACCACCAGTCTGAACCATTGACACACGGCAGGATGGATACAAGCTTTCATGTTGTTGACACCAAATCCTGACCGTACCATCTGAATGTCGAGGCAGAAATAGAGACTCACCAGGCCAGACAGTGTTTTTCCAATCTTCTATTGGCCAATTTTGTTGAGTCTGTATGAATTGTAGCTTCAGTTCCCGGTCTTATCTGACAAGGTCAGACCCAGTGTGGCCTTCTGCTGCTGTAGTACATCCGCCTCAAGGTTCGAAGTGTTTTACATTCTGAGATGCTCTTCTGGATACCTCCATAGTAACAGGTGGTTATTTGAGTTACTTTTGCCTTTTTATCAACACCAACCAGTCTGGCCATTTTCCTTCTACCTCTGGCATCAACAAGTTACTTGAGCCCACAGAACTGCCACTCACTGAATATTTTTTGGTTTTCGGACCGTTCTCTGTAAACCTTAGAGATGGTTGTTCATAAAAATCCCAGTGGCTCAGCACTTTATGAAATACTATGACACCAACAACCATGCCACGTTCAGTCACTTAAACCACTTTCTTCTCCATTCTGATGCTCGGTTTGAACTGCAGCAGATCGTCTTCACCATGTCTACATGCCTAAATGCATTGAGGCCACATTTACACATATTTAGAGAAATGAATGTCCCCCCCTACATTTTCAATAATAACATTGTGCACGCAACATTGTTTTAAAAAAACTTGTCATTTACATCAACCCACATAAATAAGCTGTCGAGCACCATAATAGCTATGCCAGAAACTGTAAACATCAGGCACTCACATGGCGTTTAGGATTTTCTGGCACATAATTTGACGTTTAAGAAGCTAAAACGCCGATTACTCCTATTGACATGGCAGCACATAACCACCTTTATCAGAACTTTTCACTTTGGCCGGAGGTTTTAGAAATAATTGTTTTCTGTGATTAAAGAACGGGGTTCTGGTGTAAACGACAGGCCAAAATGCAGGGAAATATCAGCCTTTACCCTTCGTGTTAATGGGGTCTGAGTTCTTGCCATGTGATTGGCTGGTGAGAAATTTGTGTTAATAAGCAGGTGGGTAGGTGTACCTAATTTTAGATCACTTGGACACAGTGAAAAAAGTGTATGTTTAACGTCGCTTTCAAACATCCTAAGAACCTGATGTACAGTAGAGAGGAAGGTTGTTCCAAAGAA